GCTACAAAAAGAGTTAGGGTAGTAGTTACTGGGAAGGGGGTGGGGGGTGGGTAGCTATATACAATGTACAAATTTTAATTTGACTCCAGATACATAGTTCCAATTGTAAGAGATCTAATAAATTACTTTTCAAAACATGTCCTAGTTACTTGCCTAAAACCGAAACCTGGGGGTCGTTTTTAACTCCTTTGTCTAAACTTTCCCTTGTCTGATAAATACAGTAGACTCTAACTCAGAAATGTCTCTAGAATTTGGTATCTCCTCGCTGTCTCCAACAGCACTGTTTTAAGTCAAGCCCTCATCACCCCTGGCATTTTCTATTTTAATACTCTTCTACTTGGTTTTCTTGCTTCCAGACTCTCCTCCATTGTTCCAGGTTTATTCTCTCTGCCAGGCCAGAACTACTTCCCCTGCTTTTTTTTTTTTTTTTTTGCCTGCGAACCTTGCCTCATCTTTCATCCTATAACTCCGAGCTTTAATAGTTTCTCTAGGAAAACTTCCTGCTCTTTAATTCTTAGCTAATTATTCTCTTCTCAGAGTCCCACCTCCCTCACATCTGTTCATGTTTCTTAAATAGCTCTTACAACCCTGAATTGAGATTACTTTGATTAAAAATAGGTCTGTTCAGCTTCCTTCTGAGTTTTAAGACAATTAGTTGTCTTTTCCTCCCCGAATCTTTAACACCTGGAAAGAGCTTATCACACAGTCGGAACTCAATAAATGTTCTATGAATAAGAGTTTGCTATGATAAACCTTACTGCCATGACAACAGTGTAGAAAGGGATGTGTAGAAGTTTTTTTATCTTAAACTTTCCCTCCACCTGGAAGCCAATGAGAAGGAGGAAGAACATAAGAGAAGCCTAAAAACAGAATTTTAAAAATCGAATAATTTTTCTAATGTCGTCTCCAATTTTTCTCTAGTAGTTTCTTATGTCATATATTTATTCTGAATTCTTTATTCTTATTTTATTTTATTTTTTTTTGAGATGGAGTTTCACTCTTGTTACTCAGGCTGGAGTGCAATGGCACGATCTCGGCTCACCGCAACCTCCGCCTCCTGGGTTCAGGCAATTCTCCTGCCTCAGCCTCCTGAGTAGCTGGGATTACAGGCACGTACCACCATGCCCAGCTAATGTTTTGTATTTTTAGTAGAGACGGGGGTTTCACCATGTTGACCAGGATGGTCTCGATCTCTTGACCTCGTAATCCACCCACCTCGGCCACCCAAAGTGCTGGGATTACAGGCTTGAGCCACCGCGCCCGGCTGTTATTTTCTTACAATTCTTCTTGTTCTCAACACATCTATGATTAATTGCAAGTGGTGGGTTCTCATCTCGATTTCTCCTCCCCTCAATTTTCCTCTTCCTTTCTCATTCATATTTCTTTGCTTCAACGCTAATCTATGAAAATTATAGTATCCATTGGATAAAAATCTTTTGACTATTTTATCTAAAATTCTCAGACTACTGACTTTTTTTTTTTTTTTTT